AAATTTTCTCTCTTTTTTATTTTTATTTTTTATCTTTCACAATTTTTTTCATAAAAATTCTACGTACAAATATAATTTTCCAGTTAATCAAATAATCTGAGTAAAAATAATTATAATTTTAAATTTCTTAATATTATTTTTCTTGTTATGAGATTCAATCTTGTAAATTGATCATAATAAGTATCTTTAATTATTATAAATACCTTAAAAATTCAACATTTTATATTTTGTATAATTAAGTTTTTTCATTCTCAGTTCACATATTCATATATATAATTATTAGACTATATCCATTTTTCCACAACTAAAATTATGTATATTATGTAAAATTTTATGTTTTGCAGTATCTCAATTAAAATAACTAAAAATATGTATATTATATGAGGCGAATCATACGCTTAGCAAAAGTTATCGATTTATTGTTGTTCTATCATATTTTTCATCATATGAGTAATTTGGTTAAACTGATTTACTAATCAATTTATTTTTGTTCTATCATCTTCAATATAGGGTTAAACTGATATAATAATAAATTGATGGTTAAACTTATCAATCTATTGTTGATTTATCATATTTTTCTTCATATTAGTAATGGTTAAACTGATTTACTAATCAATTTATTTTTGTTCTATCTCCTGTAATGTAGAGTTAGACTGATAGTATTTTTTTTCATATTAGTAATGGTTAAACTGATTTACTTATAAATTTATTTTTGTTGCATCATTTTTAATGTAGGGTTAAACTGACATAATAAATCGATGGGTGAAGCACATATATGCACCCTCAAACACCAACAATTAACTATTAATATAGTCGGCACTTATGTTCTATGTTCTTTAACTAAAAAGATCAATTAACAATTAATATAGTCTGTATTTATGTTCTATGTTGCTTAACTGAAGATTATATTCTTTAACTAAAAAGAACAATTATGTTTCTTGACTGAAAAGAATAATTAATAATCAATATAGTCAATGTTCTATGTTGTTTAACTAAAGATCATGTTCCTTGACTAAAAAGAGGCTCGATTTTTTTTTAATTTTAATTAAAAAATATATAAATTCTCGACTGAAGATCACTTCAGTCCTATGAAGATTCACTTTAAAAAAAATTATACATCCTTATAAAAAAAAAATATATAAAATAACTATATATATATATATATATGAACTTTGCTTATTTATTTATTTTAATATCATCTTTTCTTCCATACAAATAAATATAATTAATATATATTAACTTTCATACATATTTGATAAATTATTTATTTGTGTTTTATATATATTTGATAATTAATATAATCTTTTATTTATTTTTTTATTATTTTTTTCCTATTAATGTAGTGTTAAACATGATGAACTAATATAAATTAATATACATTAACTTTCATATATATATATATATATATATATATTTGAGAACTTTGTTTTTATTTTATTTTATTTTTTATCAATCTTCTTTTTTAGAATTAACCTAGTTTTGCTATTAAACTAATGTTAAATTGTGTGATGATCCTATGAATATAATTAATGGAAAGAACATTTACAACATTGCACAAGGGCTAACATAGATGAAATTTTGATATATTTGAGAAATCCAAAGACTTTGAGAAATCCAAAGACGGGAGAGACATAGATATAGAAAAAAGATATCAAAGGCAGAGATGAAATGGCCGAGACCAAATAAACCCTAACCCTAAGCAGCTATATAACTATACAAGTCTCTCTTATTATAAACCGACACTAGACATTATAGATTGCATAAACCGACACTCGACATTATAGATTGCTTGGATTTACTCGACAAACGAAGCATGCACGCATGCATGCTTGGATTCAACGCCTCTTAGGCTCTTTCTGAGCATTGAAATAGACAGTGGCCACAGGAAGGCCCAAGTCCAATTGGCTGGCGAAGTAGCGAGTGTTGAAACCCGCACGAGTTGTTGGCTGCTCCACAGCAGCCAAAGGTCCCTTTTGCTGAAACAGAACAAAGATGAAGCGGTGGATCCCTACCGGTGGCTTTGGTCCCAAGTAGGGTAAAATCTCTTTACCTGCACAAGACAAAAAAAAAAATAATAATAATAATAATTAATTTCCAAAATTAAATGTTCCATATCGAAAGCAGAAAAAATTAAGTTCATGTTTTAACAATTATAGATCTGATTGAAAAGAGAAAAAAAATAATCAATTTCAAAAAAAATAAATTTTGAGCAGGTGGAATGCTTCATGTTTGACACATTGGAGGTGGAATTCTGAACTGGAACAGTGACCATGATGACATGCAAGACATGAAGACACGTGGGAAGATCTAATAACAGGGGATCACCTAGCTAACACCTGTTATCTAAATTGGTGCATGCATTGGTAAATTGAAAAACAAATAAGAAAAATCTACAATTAATTGATTGAAGAATGGTATTAGTGAAAATTTGAAAAACTAATTTATTTAAAATTTTAAATTAAGATAATAACTATTTTAGATTTTGGAGACTTTGGTTGTGACACATGTACATAGCAGGCACATGCAGGACACGTGGGAGATGAAAGACATTGGATCCAAATTTAGGTAGATTACAGGTGTGAAAGGACCATTTGATGGGTTGAAAATGGGCGCACATCCCAGGATGTGACTTAACCCTGAAATTCTGTGATTTATTCAGAAAAAAACTGAAACATGCGAGACCTTAAGTACATGCATGTTAATTTATTTTTTTTTTACCAAAAATTAACAGGTCTAGTCTAAGGATCTTTAAGACGAAATGCTTTTGAAACTGAGTCGAAATGATTTAAACTGAGTCGAAATGTTTTTGAAAGAAATCGAGAGAGGAAGGAGCCGATCTCAGTGCCATGAGATCACAATCAAGAAGAAAAAAAAAACGTGAATTTAATTTTTCATGGCACAATAAGAAAATCATTTAACATCATAAACATGAAAAGAATCAAATCCAAAAAAGAAAGAAAAACTGAACCAAGTACATGCATGCAACAGTTATATCACAAGAAAAATGTTAAATAAAAACAGTATGAAACAGATCCAAAGATTATTTTGACTACCCCTTGTGGGGTTGGTGCCTCCAGGTATGTTGACCACGATCCTGAAAATTAAGGACAAACAACAAGATAATGAGTCTAATTAAAATAAAAGAAGTAAAAATCTAAGAAATAATAACAAAAAAATTAAAAGAATTGACAAACCAATGAATCAACTCCCGCATGCTTGGTTCACTGGGGCTTGGTGCATCGGGATCGGTCATAACCTGCATGCACATTCAAGAAAAAATAAATCACAGAAGTAAAAATAAACTTCATGCATGTGAGATCTATGACCCTTAGAGGAAGAAAATCACATTATATTTCACACACACAAAAAAAACCATTATTTATAATTTAATTGTAGCATGATATAACTTAATTAATTACCAGGGTATAAAGGTTATCCATATTCCCTGTGAGAGTGATCTTGGGAGGGCTAATTGCTATGGAGGGTTTGATGTCACAGCCATTGGTGACATGCTTGGAGCCAAAGTACAAAGACATGTTCACTGAAGGGATAAACATGTCCACCACATCACCAATAACCCGACCAACCACAAGGGGATCAACGGAAGCAGCCATGAAAGCAACAGAAGCAATGCACAAGAAAAGAGTGAGAGAGAAAGAGCGCATAAGCAACAAAGAGAGTATGCACTGAAGAGTTGGTGGTGCTTGCTTTCACCACTATAGGGTTTATATAGAAGTTTTTTCCTGAGAAAACAATGCAACCAAGATGAAATATGAGGGACCCCTATTTTGTAGTTTTGTGAGAGGGTTTCATGCATGGACCATTGCAAAATCAGAGACATGCAATGGATGACACGTTTTTGTCTTTGTGACAAATGGCGTTACTTTTGCCGTATGATGGAACTGCCTGCATCAGAAAACTAGGGTGCAGGTTGCAACGGTGGACTGTGCTGTAGGAGAGAACACACAGGTTCGGTTTTTACTCGTTTTTTCATTTGTCTCTAGTGAAAACCATGTCACGGATGACCTGGAAGATTCTTGAGTGGAGTTAACTCTCATTAAAGAGATAAATAAATGATTTATGAGATCACTCTTTAAAAGGTGACTGGATGCATGTAAGTAGTCACAGAAAGATATTATCATGAGCTCTTCAAATAAAAAGAAATATATTATTTTCCTTAAATTATATTATTTTTAGTGATTCTTAAATTTCTGAATTTTTATAATTATATTATTAGTATAAATATCTAGTTTAGTTCGATTTTTTTAATTATAATTAAATAAAAAAATTAAGTACATTTTGATTTGATTTAATGTGAATGAATTATGAAATTTAAAGACTATATATTAAAAATTAAATAAAAAATATGAAAATATTTTGACCATTTAATATATTTAATATTAATTATTATTTTATTATTTTAATAAAAAAATTTAATATAATATTAGTTATCATATTAAATAAATTTTTTAATATACATAATTTGTTACATAAAAAAATTATTTTAAAACGTTTAAAATAATTTATAATTTTTCATTCTAAGATTCAGTTTAGTAATTCACAATTTTATAAAATACCTTTTAAATATCATAATAAATATTTAGAGAGAAAAAATACATTTTAGTCATTTATAATTTTATAAACTACCTTTTATATTATGTGTCAATTTTGTGTAAATTTACTATGTATTTGAAAAATAAATATATTATTATAAATAAGTGTAGTTTAATTTAGTTTAGAATAATTTCACATTTCAATTAGAAAAATAAAATAAAATCATGCAATTCTAAAAGTTTTAAAATCAAACCAAATTGTTAATTTGCAGTTATGCATCAGTTTTCATTTTTTTTTTATCAATTTGCAAGTTTTTTGTCTGGGTTGGTTCAATTTTAAATACTGCTAAAAACTATTATGGTTAATTTAGCGTTATTGAGTATAAGTAATCATATACATAATGTCCTAAATTCAAACCTTATTGTTCTCATTATAATTTTTATATAAATAAAAAATATTTAAATATATTTTTAATCTCTATAATATAAGTGAGTTTTAATTTTGATCTATAATTTTTTTTTTATTCTTTTAAAATTTATAAACATTATTTTTATCCTTGTAAAATATTTTTGATCATTGTAAAATAAGTAAATTTTGTTATTAATTTCTGTAATTTCTTAAATTTTCATCTCTTTAAAATTTAAAATCATTATTTTTATCCCTAATAATATTTTTTGGTACATAATAACTTTTTTTCACTTAAGATGTTTACTTAAATTATTTACAAGCAAATAAGTAGTTAAAAATAACAATTCTAAACTCTAGAAGAATGAAAACAAATAAATTTATTTTACTGAGATCAAGATAATTTTTTTTTCATTTTACAGAAATTAAAAATATATTTAAGTTAAAACTATATTATTGGTAAAAAAAATTGAGACTTATTAAAAGTATTGTTTATTATTATTATTATTATTATTATTATTATTATATATATATATATATATATATTACTTTTTTAAAAGGATTAATAACTAGTAGAGTCGTTTCATTTAAAAGGATTGAGTTTATTTAATATATATTGCTCTCGAAATAAAAAAAAATTATTATTTTATTTTAAAAATATTACTTGAAGTGGATTAATAACTTTTGTCTTTCATTTAATATATTTGAGAAAAATTATATACACACAAAAAGATATATAACTTTTTATTTTTATTTAATAAATTGTACAATTTTTAATTTTTATTTAATAAAAGAATTTAGTTAATATTATTTAATTTTATTAATCTCAATTAAAAAATATATTTTGTTTGTACTATCATTGAAACTTTGTATAAAAAAAAACATTAAAAATAGAATATCAATTGAATGAAAAATATTTGAAATAAAAATAATTAATATATATATATATATATATATATATATATATATCCGCAATTTATGAGATTTTTTTTCTCTTTTATATTTAAGTTTAGAGTGAGTAATATTTAAGACATTTAATAAAGAGTGTATTTTAATGCATATATTAATTATAAATAGTTTATTTTCATCTTTCATTATTGTAATTAAGTGTTGTGGTAACACATATCTTATAATGACACAATATTTATCATTAAAATTTATTTTTACTTATATTATAAATATAATATATGCTGATATATTGTTAAAAAAATGTGGATATAAGTTATAATGATATACATAGTATACTGTTGAATCTCATTCAAAATCATAACTAAAATTATATGTAGTTATATTTTAAATAAATTTATACTTATATATATTTATTTATTTATTTATAGTGACACATTTTTATATCTTATTGTATGTAACATTCATTGTAGCAAAAAGAAAGAAAAAACAAAAAGAGATTTAAATAGTTTAATTATTGAGTTTGACCGTGTGTTTCTAAGTTATTAAACATTTATTTATTGTGTTTAATTTCAATGTACTATTATTGTAAAAAAAATATAATAATTAATTAAAAATTATTATCAATATAATGTTTAAGAAAATTTTAGGACTATATTCGTTCATTTTTATAAGAAACAAGTAATAGTATAAAATCTGTAACTTGTTTCTTATAAAAATGATTAGAGATAATATTAGACGTGGAAAGATGATGAATTTTAATGATTATATATATATATAAGAATTACAACAACAACAAAATTAAAGTTTGAATTAAAAAATATGTGTATATTATTCTAACTCTTTATAACTATTGTATGATGCTAGTACTCAATTATATAGTTACATTTTTCTTTATTTTTGTTAAGAAAGTAGATTAAGAGTTTAATTCATTTTGTAAGGTGAGAATTATTTTTCAATGATATATACTAGTATGACTATCTCACTAGTTAATGTGAGATTTTTAACACACACCTCTCAGGGCGAGGACTGGACATATGGTTCGATAGTAGATGACCCAATAAACCTAACAAAACTCTTTATGATAGACTTTGATATGTTGTGATACTACATAGGAAAATAGTTAAAAGCTTAACTTTACCCTATAAAATCAGTTTGTGAGGTGAAGATTGTTTCTCACTTCATATACACTATAATAATCTTATTTCTAGATGATGTGGGATCTCTAATACACATCCCTCACATCTAAGACTAGATATCTCGAGCGTGAACTTTACGAGACAAGACATTTGTAGATGGTTCGATAACGGTCAATAGTGGATGGCTTGATAAGTCCAACAACACTCGTTATGATAGACTATGATATGTTTTGATACTATATTAAGAAAATGAGTTAAGAACCTAACTTAATTTTATAAAACTGACTTAAAAGTATAATTGTTAAAGTGGGTTATGATCTGTAGGCTAACTTGACCCACCTTGAAAATGGGTCAAGTTGGGCAAAAAAAACTAAAAACTTCATAATTGGCTTAAAAATTCAACCCAACCCACCTAGGCAGAACTTGTGGTGGATCCACCTAACCCCCTTACACCTCCCATTAACCTAACCCATTAATAACTCACTTAACCATTTATTGTTATATGTGTATTGTTTTAACACTGTACCATTTTTTTTTGTAGAAGAAGATAAAGTTGACCTTAAATAACATAAAATTGCTAAGGATTTATCTACTCAAGCTTCCAATGAAGTTTAATATTGATGGATAACCACTATTCGATATTGGATCTTCAACAATTATATTATTGAACTTATTTTATTAAATTAAAAACATCATATTAAAAAAATAATATTTTGACTTTTTTTTTTAAATAAATAAGTTTAAAATGATTCTTTTACTTTTTATTTATTTAATAAAATGTATTAAATATTAGAACATTTAATAAATATTTAGTTTTTAATGCAACTTTTTTATAACTATTTTAATAGTACAAAATATCCGGGAGTTTCTTAATAGTTAATCTATGCTAGAGAAATTGAGTGACTACCTTTATATTGGTCTTACTTTTTAATTATATTTTTTTTCTATACACAAAATTTAAATATGAAATATTAGTTAAAATGATCAAGTTCAGTTTTACTTTGATCCACAACTTTTTAAATTTTTTTCTATTTTTTTTTATGTGCATGGACATGATTCACGATATTTAAAAACTGACGATTAAAAATTAATTTACGCTCAATTTTAAAAATATTTTATCTATGATTATTATTAGATATTGAAAAAAGATAATGAAGTTTAATGAGTTCATTAATAGGGACTGAATATTTTTTTTGTCGTACATTATTCAATTCAAATAAATATTTATTCGTTATTATCTATTCATTTATTATGTTTATGTTTATGACTTTAAATTTTTATTAAATAGGAACATCATACGAAAAACAATGAAAGTCACAATTTTTTATTTTTTATTTTATTTATTTTGAATTTTAAAATAATTAAAATGAAATAAAACATTTTTATAATTAAAAGTATTTTAATTAGTATTAATGGTACTTTTAAAAAAAACATTGAATGCAAAAAAGAAAAAATATTTTATTCTCACTATATTTATTTTTATTTTTGAAAATAATTATCATTATAAAATACAATTTTTAATAAAAAAGTAAAATAAAAAACATCTTCTGAATCTAGAGATGCACTTCATACTTTTTAATTACCAGTTTTACTTTTTTTTTAATTTTTTTAATAAAATTTATTAAATATTAAGACATTTAATATTTTTTTGAATACCTAACTTATAAATTCATTTTTTTTTTAATTTTTCGTATTAGGTTATTATGCATAAATTTATTTTATTTTTGAATTTTAATTTTTACTAAATAAAAGCATCACATGAAAAAATAAAAATTTGAACTGTTTT